ACTATCGCACACAATATATCCTGAGATATTTTTGATCATTTATCATAGTTGGTTTATCACTTTGATGTAAATACAACTCCAACAAATTATGTTAGTTAAATGCTTTATAGATAGACTAGAGAAACACAAAATATGAGCCTGGCAATCACATATTAAAAAACATAATAATCAAAAAAGTTTGATCACACCTATTATGTTATAGACTCATTATATACTTTTATATATCCTCATCTTTAAGGAAATGCTTCGTTAAGTACAAAATCGATCACATATCCAAATAAGACGTTGAATACTTTTAATGAAACCACGAATTGACCTAATGTCCTTACTAAATCACATGTTTCCTCTTCACATTATCTTATATATTAACGTACTAAATACATTAATACATATTCTTTATACACAATAAGCAGCTAAAAGCTACATCACTGTGGCTGATGAAAGCGCCCTTGTGCGTTTCCGTCATACGGAAGTTACCCCGACAGACAACCTAACTGTACACACAGGGAAAGTTCCAGTAAAGCGGTTTTGGTTCCCAGTTAAAGGTCGACTTTTATAGCCGTCTGTTGTTTTTCAGAGCCTAAACAACGCACAAATACAGAACCAACTAATTTAAAAATGCCGAGAGAAGCAGATCACTCACGGACTGGCGCCCTCCTGCCCAGGTAACCATTTCGAGTGTCTCCGACGTTCTTGACTACAAAGGCCTTGCAAGCTGTCAGTGAACAATGTCTAACGGCTAACTAGTTTAGCTTGATTGCTTCACCCGTTACGTGTGTTAGCACTAGTGCTAATCAGACCGACCTTACCTTATCTAGATTAGAGCAGCTTTTACTCACGTTATAATCCATTAGTGTTTGTACATCTCAATGTTTCCTTTTCTACCAAGCAAATCCGCGTGATTGCTTAGAAATATTGATAGATACATGAAGCGGAACACAGTATCCAACGGTAATCTGCTCATGCTCTTAAAATTATCAAACAGAATGATTAAATAACTGACGACGAGGATCAGTTTCTCTTCAAGCTGACCATTCAAATTAAAACTTTTTTTCACTCACTTTTTCTTTTTTGTTAAGACAAATTTCCAAGGCTAGCTTAAAGCTAGTTGATACCATATTGTTTTTTGTAATGGTAAAATAATATTCCGCGCGATATTATAAAGGTTTAAAGATGCTTCTATTCTATCGTTAGACCTTTGTATGGCTTATTGATTCAATATGTGGCTGAAACTAATTTGAAAATACAGACTAAATAGAATTATTAGTTGGAATGATTATCTCCAAATAATTTGATTAGATCTGAATTTAATTAAGAAGATTGAGCAAGAGTTCTTCCACAAATACTTCCTGCCAAAGCACCATTTTCAAATCGTTCATAAGACTACAAAGTGGAACCATTAAATTTGATTTTACCACGGGGGGCAATCGTTATATCAGCACACACAGGTTGTGCACTTGTTTGATGAATGTGTGATTTTGCAGACGGGTCTCCATCACCACAGCCAATGGTCGAGGGTCCACCCTCCCATGGCCCAGGGCTGCCCCCACCTCCCCTCTATGCCCCGGCTCCCAGCACACGCTCCTCCGTCCTGCTGTGGGTGCCCCAGCAAGCACCCAGCAGCCCGGGTAATGTTCCGCCCAGATGGCGACTACAGCAGCTGGAGGTGGCAGTGGGATCTGCAGTCGAACACGTCCATCGGGCAAACACCGCATGACTGGAGGTGGAAGGAGGAGGACAAACTCAGAGTCTGGCCAGCCTGATGTCACATAGTCCAAGGTAAATAAACCCTGGCTTTTTAGCCGGTGGGTAAAAGCTGGAAATGAAGATCTGATAGGCGTGTCTGGGAACATGTTAGATAGCAGTGAACAAAACACAGGTGGTGGGTGTGTTTTGGGGGTTGAATTTGAAGGAGGCAAAACTGTTTCCTAGTCCCACACCTGTGAACCCATTTTTACCAGTTTGTACTGACCTCCACTGAGCACAGCGCCTGCAACCTTGAGCCCGCTGTGCTCTCAGTGTTTGTTGCCCGCGCGTCATTCCCTGCCTGTTAGCCGTCAGCTGGATAGAGGAGTATATAGTGCTTTCCTGTTTTATCTCTTGTTATGCACAATGTTTATTATTCTCTCAGAACAAGTTCAATATACAGGGCTCCTGGGTAGAGGATCCTCCAGAATTGGTTTGGCCAACCCCGCTGTATCACCTCGTGGCACAGCACATGTCTTGTGAATTCTCCGGCCGAAGCTCCAAATAAACCATCAGTGTTTGCCATCAAAGTACCAGCTCTCTCCGTGTCGCTCCGAGTCTCGTCTCCATTGCTTCAGAAGTTTCCATCACACATAGTAGCTTACTTTGTAGGCTACCAACTTAAGTTGTGTTATTCGGAGGTCTGATTTTTGTGAACCATGTATTTAATCAAAGTAAATGAGTCCCGTCATGTGCCTTGTGTCCTTCAGGAGCAGAACCAGCAGTACCCGGCTCAGCCCATGTACCAGCAGCAGCCACAGTCCTCCATGTACCAGCAGGAGGCCCCTCAGCAGCAGCAGGCCTGCTCCTATGAGCTCAAACAGTTCATCGAGTGTGCCCAGAACCAGCACGACTACAAGCTCTGCGAGGGCTTCAGCGAGGTGCTCAAACAGTGCAAGTCTAACTATGGTGAGTTGAATGGAATTGATCCAAAGGTGGATTTAATGCTTGTTGATATGTGTGTCTGGCATAGGGATTGGGCACTAAGGGTGTAATTGTGGACCAGGGTAAAATACACAATCACTGATTGATGTGTTTTTTTATTATCAGGATAATCTTGAGTAACATTACATGAGTGACTGGAAAAAGCTGTGGAACTCACTATCATTGTAAAGAAATAAAAAATAAAATAGCTTTTAAAATTCACGAGTTACCGACTTACACAATGGGCTGTTATATATATATTTTTTTTTGTGTGTGTATTTATGCAGGAAGATCTTATGATTTGAGACCACTCTATTTAAGTTTTTTACCAAAAAAATGATGTGACATATCCGTGATGCAATAAAAGTATATATGTTTCTTTAAAGAGAGTAAGATACAAATAATTCCAGTAAGTGTCATCTTTAAGAGTTTTAACAGTGTTTGTATTTTTTAGGATAATACTGTGAATAAAGTTATTTTGGGAAGGATAATCCTGAAATGACTTCTAAGGTTGTCCCACGCTTTAATCTTGTACCACTTATGTAATTGTAGCATTATTATTTTGTTCATCTGTTTTGAAAGACTGACATTCTCATTTCATAACAAAATAGGAAGCATTACATCAGCACTGAGTCACCCAGACGTCATAGCCAAATAACTTAGCATCATGTGTGTGATGTAATGTGTTGCAATACACAGTGTGGCCAATGGAGGCAAGTTTATTTATAAAGCACCTTTCAAACAGGGCAAATCAAAGTACTTTACAAAAATGAAAGACATTAAGAAAATGGCATTTAAAAACAGTCATTAAAAAGCAAAGATATATAGAGGAATGTTTTCTTAGTCTGTGGTAAATTGGTCAAATTATTATTATTAAAGCAGTATTACCACTTGTCTAAATAAACTTTTTTCTTTTCTCCACAGGTATGTCGTGAGACTGAGATAACATCCTGGAGAATGAAGCAGAGCGCACACAAAGTCAAATAAGCAGTCATGCTTGATCAATAGTACTAGGGTGTTGATTCTTAAAACATTAATAAACATACTTTATTTTGACATTTGATTATTATTGTGTTCATTCTCAGGACAATGCTGTAGAGTTGGAAGTAACAGTAGTATAAATAATGTTTATATATCGTGTTGCATGTTAATTTCAGTTGTGAGTGTTTTTCATTAGCTTTAGTGCTTTAATTTAAATAACTGAACTGCATTTGTTGATCATGCTACCTTGTAAAAACCAACCGTTCCTGCCTTCTGGATGATGGAGGTCTGCAGTTTAGGTTTTAAAACAATAAAGCACTTCAAAAAAACAATGATTTCAATGCCTGGTTATTCTTACTCTGTACTTTCTAAGAAAATATATCTATAAATAGATGCCTCAGAGGTTTCACACCTGCCATGTCACTCCAGTCAGTCTCGGTGTATATCCACGAGTTAAATGTGGAGCTGTTAGTAATGTAGGGCAGTCCTCTCTCTCTCCCTCTCAATGTCTCATGGCGATGGCAGGAGCTCCAGGATGTTATTTCATGGCTCTGTTTTGTGCGATCAGAATGAGCTGCTGCTGCTTTGGAAGCAACTATTTATTTTTGGCATCTGACATTAAGGCTCACCCTCAGCCATGGCAGCAGCCCCACAATCAGCACCGGGGTCTGACTGGAGCTCCGCGTGCGTCCTTGTGATCAGACCCACTGACAATAATGGATCTAATTTATAACAGGGACTAACCGACACGGGACACGGTGAGTGACCGAGAGATTTTACATTTAATTAATTACTTTATTATTATTACTGTCTGGAGGCAGCTAAAGGTCAAATAGTGACAGCGGATTAGATTAGATGTATTTCACTCGTGGCATTATCAGTCAACACCATGTGATAGGTCGGCTGTGACATCAGGTTTAGATCCTCAACAGTTTTTTTTAGCTTATTCTCCGTTGCAATCAACTTGGGTGAGACAGAACTGAAGTTTAACATTTTGACTGTAGAAACTTGTAGAAGTGGTCATGTCATTTAGACTGGTAAATCAGGTAATAGATTCCATTCATTATACATCTTCTCTAACCTTGACATGAAATTAGTCCCTTTAATAGCAAGACCACAAGAAAGACATGTTGGTCAGTAAAGCGTTGTTAGGTTGTTTAAGGGCAGGCATGTCTCAAAGCACATGATCTTATGAAATGCCAGAAAGAGCCTAAAGTGACATCTATAAATGTCCAGCAGTTCAATGTGCTAACCATTCGCAGGTGAAATTATCATAGTTAAGTACATCAATCATATGTATTGTTATATAAACATGAAAAGACCAGCAAAATCCTCAATTTGAGAAGATGCAACTACCAAACACTTGCCATTTCTGCATCATCATGTGACTGAAAGAAGCCCTCATTAACACAGTGGCAGATTCATTTTGCAGCTCAGTTAAAGAGCCGTACTGTGGCCTTTTAACATAAAAGGGCTTCTTTTACATAAATGAATCAGCAATGATCATTCATGCAGAAAAAAAATAGGAGAGCTTCTTCTGCTGCACAGTAAGTGATTTTATAATTGGTGCTATTTCGCCTCTGATAGAACTGTCACACCTAAAAGTGTTGCAGCAGCATCACAGACATCATGACCAAAGATGAGGAGGTCCCCGACTGGGTGGGAGCCCAGGAGTTCTACGAGAAGTACGAGACCAAGGAGATTCTGGGCAGGTTTGTAAAGACTTTCATTAGCTGGCAGCGGGAGTTCCCAACCAGAGGTTCAGGAATATAGACTGTATTGAGCTTGCGGGTCAATATTTAGCTTATACTTGATATTTCTCTTTTCTTATGAGTTACTGGACAATTTTATGTAACTGGGACTGTGGTAGTATCCAAATAAATCAAGAAAAATCCTGCTCCCAAAATGCACAACTTCATTTTGCTCCATAAAGATACATTTCACACAAAGTCAGACTGCTGCAATGATAAACAAGTTTAATCAAATATAGTTTTACAGTGTTTCCAGTGCTAATGCTAAACTAGGCTATAACTAGCCGCTGGATGTTGCTTTATGTACAGAAAGATACAAAAGTGTATCAATATTCTTATCCAACTCTCTGCAAAAAAAGTGAATCATTTTTTGAAAATAATAACCCTCAATGGCCACACATGCAGAGCACACAGCACACATAGTGAAATGTGTTCTCTCCATTTAACCCATCCAAGTACCAGGAGTTTTTTTTTTATACTTTTTTTTTATAAAATCGTTTATTTGAAGAGGGACAATGCATATTGATAAACATTTAAGACAAATAATGCTTTAAAACGTAAACATGCCGGATTTTAGCTTTGAGCTCATTTCCATCCGTAGTCCCTCACACACAAATCAGTCCATGTAAACATTTATTAAAAAAAACACATACTTTTAAAAGACTTAAAATGGTCAAGTCTAGTACTAGGATGCTTATTTTGCAATACATATAATGTACAGTTATCCATTAAGAAGACACAAGCACAACCACTGGGCCTACATTTATTGGTTAGTATGGTAAAGATGGTCTGTAATCCAACATGTTTTATTCTTTTCAAAAGCACAATACAATTGAATACAGCTCACTGAACTGTAGTAATTTCATTTGATTGGGACACAGTTGTTGAGGACGCTTAAAACACAAGCCAAAGGGTTTCCCAGAAGTTTCCCAGAAGTCCAAGAGTAATGTCAGCAGTGGCAGGGCTCCCTTTCTGTCTTTTTGTCCCCTCCCCTCCCCCAAGCGTCAGTCGGTTGTGTTGTTCCATAACACACTCACAGTGTTGGAGGAGGCTTCATTCATTACCTTCCATAATAAACAAAGGTTCAGTGTTGAGAGGGATTTAGGGCACGCTGTTAGATTATGTAACTTTACTCTCTTTCACACATCCATGTCATGAGGTCACTGGATCTGAGGAAAGGGGGTTCAGTTACTCTAGTACACTTCACAAACATCCCGCTTAACTTAAAAGTGTTCTCTCTTCCTCAGGGGAGTAAGCAGCGTGGTGCGTCGCTGCATCAACAAGCGGACGTCTCAGGAGTATGCGGTGAAGATCATCGACATCACCCCCTCGGACAAGGTGACCCCGCAGGAGATGGAGGAGATCAGAGAGGCCACGGCGAAGGAGATCGACATCCTGAAGAAAGTCTGCGGACAGCACAACATCAGTAAGCACATTCACTACCCTCAAATTATTCTATTAAAACTGGTTGCAATAATTAATAATCTTATGAAACCCTCACAAAGCCTAAAGAGCTTGTTGACCTTCCAGAGTTGTGGTTATTGATGGCCTTTGTTTTCAACTGATCCACCTATCAAGTGAATCATAGTCCCCCTTTTTTTTTTACTCCAATGTCTCTCTCCTCTCCAGTACAGCTCAAAGACTGCTATGAATCAAAAGCCTTCTTCTTCCTAGTTTTTGACCTGTAAGTGTCCAATTTCAAGTTTTTCATGACTCACATCTATCCAAAATCCTCAAATGTTTGTATTTATTTAATTCAGGATGAAGAGGGGTGAACTTTTTGACTACCTGACAGAGAAAGTTACTCTGAGTGAGAAGGAAACAAGGTCAGTGAGAAATGTACCAAGACAAAAGCTGTGAATGATCTTATTTCTATTAGAAAGAATCCTTATGAGTTTGGTGCGTGTTGGTTTTAGGAACATCATGCGTCCTCTGCTGGAGGTGGTGGAGTACCTCCACCACCAGAACATCGTCCACCGCGACTTGAAGCCTGAGAACATCCTCTTAGATGACGAGATGAAAATCAAACTCACAGACTTTGGCTTCGCTGTGCAAGTCCAGCCGGGACAGAGACTCAAAGGTCGGCGAAAGCTTGAATGGAAACTAATTATGACAACAATCACAATAGTAGAATACATTTAAGGTCATTTATGAGTAACACGCAGGGTTGGACAGGTGCTGTGTCCATTTACTTAAGTAGAGTTTTGTGGTACTTCTTATTTCATACTTCTACTCCTCTGTAATTACGAGGAAAATAATGTACTTTCAATCTCCTCTACTTTAGTTACTTTTCAGATTAGTAGATGTAGTAGAAAATATCTTATCAAGAAATTACTTTTCGTGCATTATTTTAGGGTAAAATATACTTTTTGTTGGTCCTTTGGTGAAGTTCACAATGTACACAGCAGTATATATACTGCTGTGTACAGGACTCTCTTGAAAAAGAGATTTTTAATCTCAATGAGACCTATCCTGGTTAAATAAAGGTAAAATAAAAAATATATTGAAAACCTCCCCTTGACTTTACCAGCTGCAACATTTCTCATATAATATTAGTTATTCTGCATAATGAGTCATTTTACTTCTAGGACATAAGGCACATTTTGTTGCTAATGATTTTGTAATTTTAGTAGTGAACTTAAAAGTAAAATATTGAGGACTTTTACTTGTAAATTAGCATTTCTACATTTTGATACCACTGTAAAAGAACTTCCAAAAGTGATCAAATGGCTGATACTGACATATTCAGAGCAGTTGACAATAATGGACACAATAACATGCACTAATCACACTACGAGTCCCCGCATACTCAGCCAAGGATACATCAATGTCCTTCTCTATTAGAGTTATCCTTCTTACAACCTAGAGGGCAGTATCAGCAGCTGCTGGCGGTCAGCAGAGAATCTGTGTCTAGTTTCACAACATGCTTCTATCTCTCTGAGCTGCTCTCACAAAGGTTACGGTGCAACAGGACACTCAGATCTATTTGCTGAAGTCTCAGACACACACTGACCTTTCAGATAAGACTCAGAAAGCATCATTAGCAGTGGGAACTGCTAAGTCAAAAGAAACTAATATACATGATAATTATTATTTTGTAAGGGTGGTTATGGTCAGGATTTGTTATTAATTAAGTACTACTTAAAGTTATTTACCACTAAAATACTTAGATTTGACTATTTTTTAAAATGTAATTCTACTGACTACTTCTCCTTCCATCAACACACATCAGATTAAAGTGCACTCTCAGAAATAGCTTATTTAAGCTTTGTAAATGTGGTTACTGTACGTTGACGTGTTTGACGTGTCTTGTGATGCAGAGGTGTGTGGGACCCCTGGATACCTGGCCCCTGAGATCATCCAGTGCTCCATGGACGGGGGGCATAAGGGATACGGTACTGCTGTGGACATGTGAGTGAGCAGAGACAAGCAAGTTGTTCTGAGCAAATGACTATAAACAATGCTAACACAAATTCTGCAACAGTGTGATCCTATTGCGCCGTATACAGTATATATTTTAAGAGAAGTTACAATAAGCAAAGTTATCCTAAATATAACTTGCTTACACTTTTACACTTATGATCAGAATAATCATATTCATATATTCATGGCAAAAGTAGGATACATCTTGCCTGGAAATCTACTTCACGATCTCGGTCGGCTTGCTTTTAAGGTTGTGATTATTTTCCTTGAATCATGAAAAAAGTGAGTTTGCACATAAGAGGATGTTATGATAACCTTCGTTAGAAATGTTAACCTTTTTATTTATCTTTAAAAGGTCCCATGTCATGCTTTTCCGGTTATTACCCGTCCCCTTGTATGTTAAGGTTTGTATGCATGTAAACGGTCTGCAAAGTCACAAACCCTCAAAGTACACCCTGTAGCGAGTAAAACTCTAGCACAGAAAAAACCTGTCTATGCTGCCCCAGAACGCCTCGTTGGAGATTTCTCATTTTCCATTGTTTTCTTCCTGGGTACAGGAACCCAAATGGACCCATTGGTCCAAATGGACCAATCCGTGGAGCCGTGACGTTACGTCCGCGGAGCCGTTACGTTAAGTCCGTGGATTGGTCCAAATGGGCCAATGTGGACTTCCTCACACACACACTCAATCTTTTCTCAGCTGCAGCTCTGCCGATTTTACGGCGGGACAAAGCGAGGCTGTGTTCTGTGACATTATATATATATATATATATATATATATATATATATTTGTAAACGTATATATATTTAATACATATTTAGACGTATATTATAATTATGTGTGTTTACAGTCTATGGTTATACCTCAACACTCTCACTTATGAATTATGTGCTTACTGTATTCATATTTAATTAACAAAGCAAAAATATGGTACAAATGATTTAAATGTGGGCTTCTTCAACACATTTTACACACCAAATGTGGACTTTTTCAACATATTTTACACACCAAACATGATCCCTTCAAATTTCCTCAGCTTCAGTTTGGAAACAGGCTTGGTCATCACATCTGCAACCATTTCGTCTGTAGGACAATAAACCAGTGACATCTTTCCCTGCCTTATGGTGGACCAGACCTTATGAAGTGGTACTTAATATCCACGTGTTTACACCTTTGTCTAAACACAGGATTTTTAGCAAGGGCTATTGTCCCCTGATTGTCCTCGTTTACAACTGTTTTCTTATACACGTATGTGTCTATCCCTTCCAGTAGCTGCTCCAAGTAAATACACTCCTGTATTGTTAGAGCTAGAGCCACTCAGCTTCACATGTGGAAAGCGCTACTGTAGGCTGTTTCTTGGTTTTCCAAGGGACTAGTGAGCTGTCCTTACTCATGCTCACACAATACCCTGTCATACTGCGTCTATTGGTCTTGTCTGCAGCCCAATCAGCGTCACTATACGCCCGTGTAGGCCTAGTTTCTCGTTGCTTTTTCTGAAACAAAGCTGTTCGTCTGCAGTACCCCTGAGATAACGCAAAACGTGTTTTACTGTAACCCAATGTTCATCTGTCGGTTCAGCAAAAATATTGTGATAACTTGCTTACCACGAAACATAGGTCTGGACCTATGGTCTGGACGTGTACAGCTAGTCAAATAAATGAGGCTGCCAACAGCCTCTCTGTATTTCTTCACATCCACCATTTTAGGTGCATCTTCAGTGTAGTCTAACTTTTGGTCACAAGGTGTCTCCCTTACCCTACACTCCTGGATGTCAAAACGTTCCAGTATCTTTTCCACATATCTTTTTTGTGATACGTTCACACAGCCGTCAGACTGACTGAAATCCATGCCCAGAAAATGGTTTAATCTCCCCAAATCCTTCATTTTAAATTTTGTGGAAAGCATGTTCTTCACTCTCTCTAAAATCTTGGTGTTGCTGGCTGCGATGATAACATCATCGACCCAGATAGCAATTATTACTTTCCCCTCTTTATACTCCTTGGAGTACACGCAGTGGTCTGCCGGGTTCTGTGTAAAATTGTTATCTGTTAAGCATTCATGCAATATCGTATTCCAATTTTGCCCTGACTACTTCAGGCCGTAGATATGACTCCTCTAGCGTACACACTAGCTTTCCTCCCTCCTTTACATAAGCCTCAGGTTGTTCCATGTAAATGTTGTGATCGATGGGTGCATGCAGGAAGGCTGTCTTTACATCCATCTGGTGTAAAATCAAATCCTCTTGGGCTGCCTACTGCATTAATACACATACACTTGTCAGGTTGGCTGTTGGTGAGAACGTCTCCCCGTAATCTATCCCCGCCCTCTGACTGTATCCTTTCGCTACGAACCTAGCTTTGTACTTGTTGTGTCCGTCAACGTCTCTCTTAACTGAATAGACCCATTTACCTCCCACTGTTTTCCTGCCCTCTGGCAATTTTGTCACGGTAAAAGTCTGATTGTCTTCTAGAGACTTAATTTCCTCATCCATCGCTTTTCCCCAGTTTTCTGACTCAGTCGATGTCATGGCCTCTTTAAAAGGTCAGAGGTACACCGCAAACTGCTCTTTAAAAATAATCTGTACTAGTGAGTGTTTTATCATCTTCATCATTATCTTCCTGAGTATAATCTCTCAAGTACTCTGGGGATTAGCGCTCCCTACTGGGATGTCTCCCACTGTCTGAGGCATGTGACGCCACCCTAGGGTGCTGTTCGCCATCATCCTCTGGTGCTGACTGTGGAGCGTTAGTCTGTGCTCAGTACACTAGGCTGTGGGGCCTTTACTCCCTCTTCACAGTCTTCCTCCGAATCCTGTTCTAACCACTGTGTCTGAGTCTCACTATCACAAGTTGTGCTGGTGATTAACTTTACTCGTCTGTGCTTCTGCACCTTTCTCTTTGTCGGGGTAGTAAACTAGATAGGCGTGGCTTCCCTTGTCATGCCCTACAAAACGTCCTTTCTCACACCTAGTGTCTAATTTTCCCCTGTCATACTGGTACGCATAACACACTGCTCCAAACTTATGCATCCTAGCTAAGTTACGGCCCGTCCACGCGGCGGCGTGCGTTGAAGCTTCAACGCTTCTGCCCATTCACTTTGAATGGGGTGACGTCACGCTTTGCTGAACTGCATTGTGGTTCCGTCGCTTCGCTTTGCTCGCTTCAAAAGTTGAGCAATTTTCAACTTTCGAAGCTTCAACGGAAGCGTCAGCCAATCAAATCATATGCCAGTACAAGCTCTAGCCAATCAAACCGCATGCTTGTGTGTCTGGGGCGGGATATTCATGTGATTGGTTGTTGGTCGAGTTTCAGACACGCCCGCCGGCAAGCTTCCACGTGCGTTACACTTTTTCCCTGTCAGTGCTGAATATGGCGTAGTGCCCGTGTGCTTATTAAAACACTGGTTTCTGGTATGGGCTGCTTCCTGAATGGCATAGTGCCAAAGGTTTTTAGGTAGATCACTGTCAATAAACATACACCTCCTCATTTCAAAAAGAGTGCACCCTTCTCTTTCAGCTGTCCCGTTTTGATGTGGAGAATAAGTACAAGACTTCTCATGTCTGATCTTGTTCTTTCTCAATAGTGTCTGAAACTCCTTACTAGTGAACTCAGTCCCGTTATCTGATCTAATGCATATCACAGTCCCATAGGGATCTACATCTGCCAGATACTTCTCAGTGGCTTGAACTGCATCACTCTTCGCTTTCAGGAAATAAACAAACACTGGCCCTGTACACACATCTGTAAATGACTGCATATACCTGAAGCCATTTATGGACTCGTTGTTAACTGGACCAGCTCAATGTTCACCAACTCAAGTGGTGTGTTTGCTTTGTCGGTCGGATCTCTGTTTCTCGTTTGGGTAAACTTTCCCTCTATGCATGTGTGGCACCCCTGGGATGTGTGACCACATTAATATAATTATTATTATTATTTAGAGTTAGAACATGCATTTATTTTGTACATCTGTTATTTTCATGTCATTAACGGGGTT